GTGTTCCTTGGCCCAGTACCCACATGTGGTAAAAATGTCATGACAAGACGTCCACGAGTTTTGGAGTAATGTTGTCCAAAGACAGAACGACAAAACGACAGAAAGACCGACAAATAGACAGACAGACGCAACCGAAAACATTACCTCGCCCTTGGCGGAGGTAACAAAACAACAGAAGCAAGTTTGGTATTTTCAGAGTAAAAAAAAAAAGAAACAAGGGGTGGAAACATGACAAGAGTTGAACTACCAAGACATCTATTAAACAGACATTATGATTAAAAACATATTTTCAAAAATATTAGTATATGAACTGTTAGAGTTTCTTAAAGCATTAAGTCTGAGCTCTTTGTACTGACAGAGATCCGCTGCCCAAAACTCGACATGCCCATTAATGGTGGATACAAGTGTACAGATGGCTCCTACTTCAACAGTCGCTGCGACTTCTTCTGCTCCCCTGGCTACACCCTGAAGGGCCAGAAGACAGCAGTCTGCCAATACAACAAGGTGTGGAGCGCAGCCGGCCCCACATGTGTTGGTAAGACCGTGTGTGAAGCTTTACCGCCATAAGAGACGACTGCACTGGCAAATTGTTATTTTTTGTGGCATAATAACAGCTGTAGCTATTACATTCAAATTAAAATTCTGTTTTGGGGTTTGAAAGAAACCAACCTCTTCATGTTCATCATACATCATTCACAGAAAACCKCTCCACACACCAGAAAAGAACACTATTTTCACTTCTTGTAGTTTTACAATGACTGAGCTGAAAGACCTGCAATTTGCTGAACAGCTAAATGACAGAATACTTTGCCAATACTGTCATTTTTTTCAGTCAGCCTGTCTCTAAAAGTACTATTTCAGGTACAACATTGAGTCTGCCACAGTTTGTCACTGAGGACGCTCTGACTCATCCTCATTTCTTCAGTGTATTGATTTATTTACTTTTGCGTCAACATAAAAGGTTATTTTGTCTTGTTCCTAATACGACGAGCATTCCTCTGGGCTTCACTGTGTTTTGTACAATGAGCCTGCAGGTGTTTTTGGTCCATCACAGAGACAAAATGAAGCACAAAATCAGCTTATTWAGTCTGACTTAGAAAAACTGGTGTTTTCTCTCATAATAGTGTAAGGAATTGCTCAAATTGGAAGCCTGAGTACTACGCAGAAAACTGATTAAGTTCTAAGTTAAATGTTTATTTTCAGATCTAAAGACTCCGAGCCTGTCTGTGAGTCTAAACCAGGGGTCTGCAACCTGCGGCTCTGGGGCCACATGTGGCTCTTTGGTCCCTCTGCAGCGGATTTTTGAAGCTTTGACCAAAGCTTAACATGAGATTTTATTTATTTATTTATTTATTTATTTATTTATTTATTTATTTATTTA